CTTCATGCATTCTTCAGTTTTAGTCATTTGCAATTTTCTAGAGTACTGTCAAACTTCATGCAGATTTTAATAATATTGGTATGTTATTTTATGTTTATTTGTTTCGTCATCAGATTTTTATTGAATACATACTTTGATCTAGACCTTGGGTTGAGCAGTGGAGATAAAATAGATTAGCAATATAGTTACCATCTCTCCCCTTCTATAAGTTTATAGTTTGAAAAACACTAAATTTTCCTGCAGTTCTTGTCATTTTCTCTCAACATCTTGCTGTATTTCATTTTCAATTGAAATGTATATGTACTGAGTTTTTTTGGACTACAACAGTATTGGCTTAGTTATTTAGCTTTTTGCATTTTTCAATTTAAAATGATTTTTTTATTATTTAAGTATTCTTTGTTTTTGTTTCAAAGGATTTCTTCATCTTTGTTCTTGAAGAATACCAATTTGGTCTCATTTTCCTTATTTGGCCAATGATGCTTTTTTTTTTTTTTTTAACTTATAACTGTTTTGTCCCAAGAAGTCTTTTATGATAATTTTGATTCTTACTAATGTTCTTATTAATATTTTATTTGTTGTTTCTCATGCTTCCTCTAAGAGCTTCTTATTTTATTTGTTAAATGTTCTATTTGATTTTCACATGTTGTTTTTCTTTGCTACAGCAACACCTTTTCTGCAGCTGTCTTTTTGCTCTCTGACCCTACCTCAGGGGCACTCCATTGGTTCCAGTGAAGAGAACTAGCCTCACCAGAAAATAAAACATACTATTAGCCACTATAATTCAGTCAATATGGCACCTGAACAAATCTAGACAAATAGACCATTGAAATGGAATAGCAAGCCCAATTTAAAATATTTGGGGATTTAATTTATAGTTAAGATATTCTAGCTTAGTAAGAAGACAGTAGTCAATAAATGAGTGTAATATGACTGGCTGGACAGCTGGAGTGAAATTAAATTGGAATATTTAAAAAATAAAGAAAATTCATATCAGAAATGGAGGGAAGACAAAATCAATCCATCAATTTAGGAGAAGGTCTAGTAGACTGACTTTCTCAGACAAGCAACCAAGAAGCTAAAGAAAAGATAGGCTAAAGAATATTGACATTTTAAATTTTTGTTGTTAAAAGACATTGGTAAATAACCCAATAAAAAACTGATGAAAGGATGTGGGTAGGTAATTCACAGAAGGACAAATGTTAATGGCCGACAAACATATGAAAAGATATTTGAATTCATTAGCTGTCAGAAAAGTAAGTTAAAATAACAATATCAGCTGGAGTTGTAGCTCAGTGGTAGAACGCTTGCTTCTCACACGTGAGGCACTGGGTTCGATCCTCAGCACCACATTACAAAAAATTTATTATGGCCATCTGCAACTAAAAAATATTTTTGTAAAAAATAACAGTGCCACTTCATAAATATCTAAAGGAACTATAACATTACTGCAGAGGAAACTGGTTAAGTCCTCTGTTGTTTGCAGATATATGGGAATATGAGTGTTTGGCCCTATTCCAGGGAATTTATCCCAAAGAATTAGAAGCATGATGTGTAGTACAGCTTTATTGTTGTGGCAAAAAATAACTAAACAAAGCAGGAAATACTTAAGTAAATCATGGTACACAAATTGTTTCACAAGGTGGATTCAGTTATTAAAAAGAAAATAATGTTCAACTTGGAGAGTTTTTAGGAGGTTGATTAGTAGAAAAGGAAATAAAGTTTAGATTAAACTTATGTAAAATAATCTGAAAACCTTCATGTATGTATATAAGAGTTTACATATAATTATATTAGCATGGAGAAAAACATGGAAGGAGAAATATTTTGTTTCTCATATGTATTACTGACAAAGAGGGAAAGTAGAGAACAAGGAGAAACAAGTAAAAAAACAAAAGCTTCTGCTCTAAAAATAGCATATATGATATACTATGTGTATCTTTATTCATAATATACATATGTTTTACAAAGTATTTGATAAATATTTTAAGAAATTTTTTTTCAGGTAGATTTAAATATAAAATAATTTAATGTTATAAGATTTTTTAAAATATTTTAAACTAATGAGTGTATTCATCAATTCTCATAGCCTCTTTTAGTTTTTCTTTTTAATTGCTTTTTTTAAAAAAATACTTACTTTTTATGATGCTGAGGATCCAACCCAGGGCCTTACACACGCTAGGCAAGCGCTCTACTGCTGAGCCACAACCCTAGCCCCTTAATTGCTTTAATATAAAATCTTTCAGTATGTTTTTAAAAGTATGTTTTAGTCAATATATTATTTATAATTTGTAAATTAAGAAAGGAAGATCCAAACAAGGTATTTTAATGAGATGTTTTGCCATCATTTACAATTGTAACTTTTAACCAGATTTTTCAGTTACCAGTCTGTTTTTAGTAGACTAATGTGCACTTAAATTATGCCTCACTTTAACATGTAGTTGTGCTAATTTCATGTTTTAAAGTTTAATCTATCATTCTGTAAAGAGATAATGCCGTCTGCCTCTTTTCCTCACATTCTCTTTTAAACCTACCAGCCAAAGTCTTATTTTAAAAGACAAGATAAAGTTTTTTTGTTTTGTTTTGTTTTGTTTTTAAGCCTGGATAAACTGTGTATACCTCAGCATTATTTTATCTATTTCTTAACCCTATTCCTTAAGTTTCCAAAGTAAGTTCATAACTTCTTCAATATAGTTCTCTGGATAAAACCCTCAATTCTCTTCCAAGACTATGATCCAAATGTCTTGAGGTCATCACAAGTTGTGTGATAAGTCCTGAAATAATTATAATAATTAATTATAGCCTAAATTTATTGATGTTACCATCTGCCAGCCATTACTTAAAGCATATTATGTATATTACTTCAGTTAATGTTCATGAAACCAATAGGGTAGATACTAATTAGTCCCAGTTAACATGTAAGACACTTAGATACAAAGAGGTTAAGTACTTGCCTACCACTTTCTTTTGAAATTGATGAGAGTTAATAAAACAGACATGGAAGATTGGTTTTTCCTAATGTAACTACAAATCCCTATAGCTGCTAAAAAGGAAGGAAAGGATATCTTTATACCAGTCAGTATCACCTCTTAAATATTAACACATCAGTCAAGTTTAAAGAAACCAGCATTAGGGGCTAGGAATGTGACTCAGTGGTAGAGTGTTTGCCTGCCATGCCTGAGGCCCTGGATTTAGTCCCCAGCACCAAAAAAAGAAAGAAACCATCATGATGTATTATATGATGTTGCAAGAATTAAGAGTGGTCAGGTTTAAAAAGAAAGAAAGATTCTTATGAGAAAACTAGGAAGATAAAACATTTAGTACTCTTATCTCTAAAAATTTCTCCATAAATATCTATTCAATTAAAGGATTTTTATATGTTAAAATAAGTTTCTACTAATAAAATTAGTAGATTGCTAAATTTTATGCCATATGTTTTAGAAACAAAATTCATAACTGAGAAATATAAATGCCTATTTTGTATATACATATAAACTTTCCATACAAGTAGAAAATTTAGGTTTATACTGCAGTATTTTAAATATGCAAAATTTAGAGGACGGTCTACAGGACCCACAAGAAAGTCAAATGTTGCATACAGGCAATGATCAGAGTAATAACCTATAGTTAGTAATAACCTATCAAAACACTGATTCCATCTAGCACCTTTTCTTGAAATGTACTCACATGTAGTTTTTTCAGTTGTTAGGGGTTTTTTCCCTCCTGTGTAATTTGACTCCTATTTTGCTTCTTTCTCCCAGTCTTCCCAAACTAGGACTTCCTATACTGCAGAACTGTTTTAAGTCTCACAGTTAACTTCTGTGCTTCTGTATTTTTGGTTTCCTCAGCTGGAAATACACTTCCTCAATTCTCATTGCATGTCTGAATCGTACTTATCCTGTTAAATTGCCAAATGCATTAGCTTAATATGATTGAAAAATTCTTGTGTAGAAAATTTCCACAGCTATTTGTATTTGAGCTGTAAAATTTTATAGAATGGACCTACAGTGAATAAGTTGTCCTTTTTGACTTTTTTAGGGTGGGGAGGATGCTGGCAATCAAACCCCCAGCATTGTACCTACAAGACAAGGAGTCTTCCATTGAGTTGCATCCCCAGCCTTTAAGTTCACCCTTTTAATACACTTTTAAAATAGTATGTGGTAGTGGAAATGACATAGCTTTGGGATCACAGAATACTTGTCAAGTATCTATCCATGTGAGCGTGGACAAGTTACATTAACTAACTATCCTGAGTATTGTTTTCTTCATTAAATAATTATTTCAGTCATTAAATAATAATTGAAAAGTTTGCTGGGAGGGAAAAATTAAATAGTATGTATAAAATAAATATATTAATTTATTGTTTTTAAAGGGTTAGGTTTTTATGGCTCTGGGACTTTATCATAATGTGTTTCACTTGGCCATTTTATAAATGTTCAGTGTAGAAAGACAAAACTTTTTTTATAGTGAAGCCAGATTTGAGCTCACTTAAGACAAAATTTATACCTAATTCACTAAAACTTTCTTTATAACCCTTGGGAAGTTCCTTCTGCTCTCAAGCTGTTTGTCAAGTGATTTTTAGGACCTGATATTGGTATTGACATGCTTGGGGTAACTAGATAATCATTTTACAACTTCACGCTAATGAGGCCATTTACAAAATTGCATATTGAAAGAGTAAAAGAGGCTAAAAATTTAGTAAATTCTAAAAGTGATGTGTATCATCTTTTATTAGTAGAAATTAGGAGATTGTTAGATATTGACACACTGGTAAGCCACAGTAGGTTATAAGGGAATTTAAATTCTGCTTTAAAATATCAATAAATTTAACATAGCCAGATAATCATTTGCTGTTACTGCTTGTACATAAATACTACTTTTTTTCCTTAGGTGACCAATATCTTTTTAATTTATCCAGACTGTTTCTTTCACTGTTGTGTAGCTTTTAAAACATTACTATAGTTTCTGCATTTTGAGAGAGATCCATTTCATTTTTCTTAAAGACTGGGACAGGGAGAAATTACTTGAAGCTTGGATGTCCAACCCAGAGAACTGTTGCCAACGATCAGGTGTTCAAATGCCAACTCCACCACCAAGCGGGTATAATGCCTGGGACACACTCCCTTCTCCAAGAACTCCAAGGACTACGCGCTCTTCTGTCACCAGTCCAGATGAAATAAGTTTATCGCCTGGAGATTTAGACACCAGTTTGGTATGGTTTAGTGTACTACGGTTTAGTATAGTATGGTGTAGGGTGGCTATAGTATACTTCCCATAGCTTTGTTCTTAGTCTTTTAACTTTTAAATTATTTAATGTTATTCCATGGAATGTCTAGTTGTGTTCTTGTAATTGAATCCTATACCCTTCTTTAAAGGTTCCATTATTTTCATGCTTTAGTAAATGCTTATTATCACAGAATATTTTTGTGATCTGTAAACTGTAGATCAAAACATAATAGTTTGGAGAAACCATGTACTCTCTATTTTCACTTAAAAGCTTCAGATACTAAAATATTGAAAACTGAATTTGTGGTATGTACTTTAAACCAAAAATGCAAAAAACATTTCTATGATTTCTTGAAAGCTACTAATTTTTAAACATTTTCAGTATATTGATGGTCATATATTTATTTCAGCAAAGCTTCTGGAGTTTGTCATCCAGATGCATTTCCATAATAAATATTTCCTCTTTATTAAGGTACAGTATTGCCCTTTGTGGATTTTTAGATTGGCATATCATTGGTATGCTATATAGGAAATTTTGATGTTTCTTGAATGGTTCAACCACTCAAACTTTGTGATTAATATGAAAGCACTCCTTGTTTCATCTAACCCATTTTGGAAAACAGAATCGTACTTTCAATTAATTCTCAACTATCACAAGATAAAGTTTGCTTCTAGTAAGTCATTGTGAGAAGATATATAGTTTTATAGCAGGGTTCCTTGCTTAGAAAGCTTTAAATTGCTACTCTTAATATCCTGAGTTGCTGTGTTAAAAGCACAAAGATAACTCTGGTTTTATAGATTGTCCAAGTTAAGTACAGGTTGAAGGACATGATACTGAGTGGTTATTTTGCAGCATGCAATTTGATCTTGACCTGAATAGATTATAATGATTTTTTTTCTTGCACTTCCTTTTCCAAATTGCACAGATGCTGATAAATACATGAAATTAAGTGTTTCACTTTTGCATTAAAGTATTTAAGTTGTACAATAGTTTATAGTGAGATAGAAATTGTATGTTATTCAAAGATAGGCACTCTAACTGCCCTTATAACTTGGGAACACCTATTGTTAAAATTTATGATTACCATTCCAGTATTTTTACTTTTAAATAATGAACAAAGCAAAAATATTAATGCCCAAAATGAATGTTTTTACTCTCTCCAAAATATGACTGTTGAAGTCATTGTTCTTCTCCATCTCCAGTGTGACATTTGTATGTGCAGTATCTCTGTATTTGAAGATCCAGTGGATATGCCCTGTGGACATGACTTTTGTAGAGGATGTTGGGAGTCGTGAGTATATGAGCAGCTTAGTATCTCTTACTGCATGGTAGCATTCTGATTTGGTAATAAAATTGTTTGCTTTCATTACTTACTTCTATGGATTATTTATATTCGTTTCAGAGTTACCCTGAAATTTATTGTACTTAATTATTAAAGAAGAATTATTTTTCTTATTTTGTCATCTTTCCAGCTACTTTAGTTATTGCTGTTTAGCTTAATATAATGTACTTTAGGAAACAAACAACTATTCTAAATAATTTTTCTTAGTATTTTAATGTATATAACATCTAATGTAAATGCCAGGCCTCTACCTAAATTTCAAGAATCAGTTTCTGCCTTAGTCCTAAGAATTCTAATCATTTGTTTTTGTGTTTTCTCTTAATTTTTGTTGATGAATAACCTTGAAAGTCTGTAAAAATGTGGATGTTTAAAATTCCTTTTTAGTCTATTCAAATCTAAATGTTTCTGCTAGATATGGCTGAGGTGGAAAATGTATTTTGTTTCTCATGTTTATCTCTATTTTCCTTCTCATTACCTTGCTGAGATTTATATTTTCTTATTATCCATTAACTGCTTTGAGGTTGCACTTAAATGTAGAGATCTGGGGAACACCAGGTGGGTAAGAGAACAAGAAGAAATTTGAGCAAATTTTTTGGTTTTTGTTCTGTTTTATTTTTAACAGCTCTGTTGGGGTATAGTTTTCATACATCAAACCACATGTTTAAAATAAATAATTTGATAAACTTTAACGTGTATATATACACCTGTGAAACCATCACCACAATCAAGATAATAAATATATCAATAAATATAAATATATTCATTTCCTCTTGAATCCCTCATGCCCTTCTCATTCTGCCTCCCACCACCCAAAACTATAGGTTTACTGGCCTGTGGTTCTGGTTTCATTTCGAATACATCTTTTTTTTTTTTTTCTGTTTTCCAAAATGGAATTATGTGGCAAAGGTTTTTTTGGGGGGGAGGGGGGGAAGCTACTACTTTTCAAAAGTCAGAATAAGTAAGAGTATCTATTTATTCTTTTGAAAACACAAGCTAGACTTTACTCTGAGTTTAATAGATAATTAATTTACAAAGGCCAAAATTCACAGTCTAAAGCAGTCTTTCATTTATCTCTGGAGGCTGAATGTACAGTACTTTATTTAGCTTAAAATTGTTAACTATAATGTAGTAGGATGTATTACCTGGGTTTTACCAGGTTTGCAGCTTTTGTCTTTGGTTCATATGTGAAAACAGCTCATCCAGGAATTACTTGAATTTTTTGAGCTTCTTTGATCTTTCTCATGGGAACCATCTCTTATACTCATCACAGACTAGCCATGAGAGTTTATGGCAAGATTCATATTTGAAAGATCTAATTATTGTTTTCCAAAGTATCTTACCATCCTACCTAGGTTTCTGTGCCCTTTCCCTGTAGATCTTGTCAAATAAAACATCAGTAAAGCAAGTTCCATGTTAAGTGATTCATGTTGATAAAATCACTTTTAAATTAATTGCAAACTTTACACAGGCTTATAAAAAAATCCTATCTAAAAATGAGGAAGAGTTTTTAAAGGTCTTCAAATAATTTTGAAAGCTCCTCTATCCTACTCTTCCCAGTGCCCCTATCTTCTCAGTCCAGCCAGATCTATGCCAAGGGCTTGAAAAAAGAGAATTATTACTTGCCACCCAGGCTAGAACTTACTGCCTGATATAAGGATAAGAGCTCAGGTTCTAGATATAATAGGCTTCTAGGTTGTGGATTTCAGCTCTGCTATTTATTAATTGTTGATTTAGGTAAATGGTAACCTGTCTGTACCTCAGTTTTCTAATTTATAAAATGATGTAAATAGTAAGTACTTCATAGGATTAATTTATTAAGTAACAGTATATATAAAGTGCTTGGAACAGGGCATATTAATCATCTTCCTAAGCATTTTAATAAGCAAAGAGCCTATCTGTATGATAGCATCTTGAAGGTGATACACAAGATTAAAAATATTGGTAGAATTTGCTCCAGATTTCTTTCACAAAGGCAAAGATAGCTTTAAAATATAAATATCTATATATATTAGAGCTAGGTTTGAGGGGAGAGGGCTACCTGTTGGAAAACTTCTGTGAAGTGCCAGGGTGAGGGTTGTGGAGGTAGAAGGAGATGGAGAAAGGGAGCAGGTCCATTGAGGTCTCAGTAAGGTTGATTTTTTTTTTTTTTCTTTTAAGTACAATGGAATTAAGAGACTGAGAAGAAAAGGGAAAAGATATTATAATTAGAATAATCAAACTATTGATAGTGATAAGTAGAAGAGGTTTGATTCATTTGTCCTGTTTTCCATTGAATTTCTCTGTTTAACAAAATCTTAAGTCCCATATAGTCAGACAGAATCAAAGTTTGTTTCTTGCTTCTCCATAGGCAGTATTAAATATAACAGCAATAATCCTTGCTAAAATTTGTGAATTCTTCAGTGTCAGGCATTATATATATATTTCATGTGTATAATTTGCATAACAGACCTGAGGATAATAATAATATTATTATTTCTATTTTTTAAAACATTTTTATAGTTGTATATGGACAGCATGCTTTTTATTTTATATGTTTATTTTTTTTTATGTGGTGCTAAGGATCGAACCCAGTGCTTCACACATGCTAGGCAAGTGCTCTGCCATTGAGCTACAGCCCCAGCCCTTATTATCCCTATTTTTCAGAACAGTTAACTAAATTGCTTAAGATTATTAAGCTGAAAACCTAAAATTTTTTAATTTAGAATCTTGCTCTTAATGATTAATTCACCTTAGGCTAGATTCCTCCCACTTTACAGGATGCCTTTTCCTTACTAACTCAACAACAGAGCAGGACATAGAACTCATTTTAGTATTTATCAAAATGATATATAAGGAGAAACCATTTTCTTTTAAAAAGCATCTTTTAAAAAGAAAAGCCCTGGATTCTAGTGCCACCCTCAAATATCTTTAATTATCTTTGGTTCATTTGCTTAAAGATATTGAGAATTGAATATGTCCTTTCTAAGCCACTCATTTCTGAATTTTTAGTGTTAAATAAAAGAGTTTCAGATTTTTAGAGATAATAAAGCAAAATGGAAACATAAAAATAACTGAAATACTCAAGTGTGTGTGTATATGTGTGTCTACATGTCTACATATATGCTCATAAAATAAATGGCTGGACAATTAATAAGTGTTAGAGTTGATATTCCACAATCTAGTCGGTGAGCGTATGTTTGCTCATGCACTGGACACTAAACTCAAGTCTAGTGCATGCTAGCACACAGTCTACTACTAAGCTACACCTCCATCCCATGTTAGTATTAGCTTAATTATACTCTTAACAGAATAAAGAAAAATTCTTAAAAATAACTTACATTGTTGCCCTTTTTCTGTCAATTGCTGCTTTAACAGGTTTTTGAATCTGAAAATTCAGGAGGGTGAAGCTCACAACATTTTCTGCCCTGCATATGATTGCTTTCAACTTGTACCTGTGGACATCATAGAAAGCGTAGTTTCTAAGGAGATGGACAAACGATACCTACAATTTGATATTAAGGTATGCTGCCAATTATTTGTCTGATTTCCATAATTTCAATTTTATTAAACCTATATAACATATTATTTGTTTTCATTTTATTTTTGAAAATATAGAATAATGGCTTCTAATGTACGTTTCTCAGAAATATTACATAAAGGAATGGGTGGCATTAAAGTTTTAAGCCAAAGCATTATTTTATAAAAGAAAAGAAAAAATGAAAGCCTGGCATAATAGTTTACCAAAAAAATTGTTATAGCTCAGAGGTATTTACTAATTTGGATATTATACTTTTATAACTAATTGGCTAAGATGATGTTCAAAGCAGATAGTACCTGCTTTAAATTTTCCAAAACATTTGATGTTCCTACAAATAAATATTTAGAAATAGAAATTTAGATATAGCAATAAATTATTTTAAGATAAATATTTAGTATTTTTAACTTGGAAACTTACAATTTTTTTTAATTGCAGTAATAGTTTCATATAAATATCATAACATTTCAACTTTTTTCCCCCAGTGTTTATTTTCATTCAGGAGTTATTCAGAAGTATATGTAGGTTACTCTCTTTTTTGTGGAATTTAAAAGTTTAATTTTAATTGCTTTGTGCAATTAATGGACTTTTAAAAGAGAAGTCCTGCTTTTATAAAATAAAAAGCATCATTTTAAATTGATTTTTTAATATATATATGTATATATATTTAGTTATAGATGGACAAAATACCTTTATTTGTTTTTATTTTTATGTGGTGCCTGGGATTGAACCCAGTGCCTCACACATTCTAGGCAAGCACTCTACCACTGAGCTACAACCCTAGCCCCATAAATTGATTTTTATGTGTTATAATGATGCCATTTAAAAAATTAACTGTTCTAATACACTAGTAATTATATGCAAAATTCTACTTATATTTTATCAGAAAAGTAGCACATTGTATGAAAAAACATTTTTAAATTACACATTTTCTGAGTAAATAATTGCATTTTTACTTTATTTCATTTACCTATTTTTTAGATTAACGAAAACAAAATTTTTAAGTCATGTTATTACTAAGGTAAAAATGTCATTTTTCCTTTTTTTTTAATGCTTTCTAATTTTAAGTGTTTTGAGACTGATAATTTCTTATATTTTCATTTTTTTTAACTTCAAATTACTGTGGAGGTACTCTTTATGTTAGAATTTAGAGTTAAATTGTTTTTTGTTATTACTATTTAAACAGGCCTTTGTTGAAAATAATCCTGCCATTAAGTGGTGCCCTACTGCAGGCTGTGAAAGAGCAGTCAGACTAACAAAACAAGGGTCAAATACATCTGGATCTGATACACTCAGTTTCCCACTGCTGAGAGCTCCAGCTGTGGATTGTGGGAAAGGACATCTCTTCTGCTGGTTAGTACGTGACAAGATGACATCAGCCTTTCTAACAGTTTTTAAAGAAATGTTCTCTCTCGGCCTTTACATTGTAGTATACTTGATATTATTCTTATTAATTAAAAAAATATAGTAAATAGTAATAGTTGATATTTATCATGTGTTGATAAATATCAAGCACTATGCCAAATATTTTTAAGTATGAGATTCTTCCAGTGATGCTCTGCATTGAATGCTGATATTATGTTCATTTTACAGATAAGGAAATTCAACCACAGAGATGTTTCCCAGGGTTATATAGCTAGGAAATGGTAGAAAAGGGTTTGAGCCCAGATATGTTTGATTCCAAAGCCCAATGCTAACTGTAGATTAGAAAATGTTTACCATTTTAACTTTTCTTCTTAATATATAAATCTTTAGCAGTGATTCTTAACCAGTTATGCTCAGAAATGCTAAGGGATCTTTTCCAGATTTTTGTCCTTGACCATGACAAGTAAGATTTTGATTTAATAGTTTTTTTTTTTTTTTTTGAGTGGTGCTCCAAAAAACAAACAACAACAACAACAAAAACCACAGAAAAAGAAAAAAAAAAATTCAGGTTATTCTAAAGCATAGTCCTAGTTAAGAACCAATGACTATAGGCTTTTTATTTCATGTGTTTTATTTAGTTTCCATTACCTGGTAAGTACTTCACAAAGATATATAACTTTGTATGCTCATTTGACTATATTTGTCAGCCATCAACATTCTGCTTATTCAAAGTAAATCCAATTAGCTGTTTTGTTTTACTTAATTGAAATATAATTATTCCTATCCTGGCAGGTCTGTTTTTTACCTTTCTCATCAACATGAGATAAAAATATTTACTGACCTACCAGCCAATATATATAATACCAACCTCTAGGTCAGGGTCAGCAAACTAGCATCCATACCTGTCTTTGTAAATGAAGTTTTATTGGAACACCGACACACACTTTCATATTTATGTGTTGTATGGGTCTGCTTTGGGGCCATGGCAGCAGAATTGTGTAGTTGGAACAGAAACTGTATGGCCAACAAAAACCTAAATATTTACTCGTTAGCCCTTTACAGAAAAATTTTGTTGAACCTTGCACTAGGTGCTTGGATATAGTGATTGATGAAAAGAAAACTTTCGTCTTTACTATTTTCATGGCTAAATCAGTCTATGCAAGTAAAATATTAGCCACAAAATGCTGAATAATAGGTTATACGCATATGCCTTAAGTAGTTATTCAAAACATTTAAAAGAAAACATTTTAGTCTTTAAAAGTTTTGCACTTTTTTAAAACTTTCAAAATTATTTCTAACCAGTACACATGACAGTAGAAAGCTCTTTGATTCCTTGCACACAAATGGAGCAGAATTTTTCACTTCTCTGGTTATACATGGAGTCACACCTTTCATGCAGTCAGACATGTACCTAGAATAATGCTGTATGTTTCATTCCACGATGTTTTCTACCCTTTTGCCCCTTCCCCCTCCCCTTTGCCCCATCCAAAGTTCCTCCACTCATCCCATGCCCCACCCCATTATGGATTAGCATCTACTTATTAGAGAAAACATTCAGCCCTTGGTTTTTTGAGATTGGCTTACTTCACTTAGCATGATATTCTCCAACTCCATCCATTTACCTGCAAATGCCATGATTTTATTCTTTTTTAATGCTGAGTAATATTCCATTGTGTATATGTACCACAGTTTCTTTATCCATTCATCTATTGAAGAGCATCTAGATTGGTTCCACAGTTTAGCAACTGTTAATTGTGTTGCTATAAACATTGAAGTGACTGCGTCACTGTATTATGCTGTTTTTAAGTCTTTAGGGTTTAGACCCAGGAGTGGGATAGCTGGGTCAAATGATGGTTCCATTCCAAATTTTCTAAGGAATCTCCATACTGCTTTCAGATTGGTTGCACCAATTTGCACTCCACTAGCAATGTATGAGTGTGCCTTTTCCCCCACATCCTTGCCAACATTAAAGTTTTGCACTTTTATTATTCATAATTGGTTTACTAACTCCCTCACTAACCATGAGACATAAGAGTGAAACTATAGAATAAGATGGGCATTAAATGCACAGAAACTTGGTTGGCCAATAAAAGGAATTTAGATGAATATGAACCTATTTTGCTGTAAAGTAAGAATACTAAAGTAATAAAGGACCTTTCTCTTCTCAGCCAATATTAGGTTTCTTGAGAAAATCAAACTCCAGTGCCTTCAGACACCATTTATATGCATCCTATGCCTCTAAAATGGTACTGATAGGAAGTCATGGGGAAAAGTGACAAAAATTATCACATAGATCATTTTAGTTTTCTGGTTGAGTTCATTTTATGAGGAATCCTTGTTGGAGGAAAGCTGGGTTTTAAAGTGTTAGTTGAAGATGCTACAAAGGAAAAAAATTAGTAAAATATCTAGAAGATAAATAAGAAGATAGCATTTGCTAAAATCAGAGAAAAGTCTTAAGGAAAAAAGAAAACCTGTGATTAGCATTGCCTTAAACTTTGTGGTTTCTTTGGTCTAGCTTTTACTAGTTTTCATCATAGTTTAGGTTTTACTTTCTTATTTTCTTTCTTATTATTTTTGTATTCTCCAAGTAATAAGTTTGGTTTAACTCAAAACAAGTACACCTACCCAAATAAATAGATTTTTAAAACTCTGTGTGTGTGTGTGTGTAAAATGCTATAAACTATATATCTTGTCCAACATTTGGAGAAATTTTCACCTTAGTCTTTCTCTTACCCTAAAATATGAAGTTGGTTTTATTCAAACGCTGGAGACTTGTGTGCCAAGATCTCAAGCCAATGTGATTTGAATTTCAACCCAGTTAAAAGGATCTGAGAATGAGCACATGGACTGAGGTCACATTTGCCATTTTATTTGCTTTTCCTCCTATTCGTAAGGGTAGTAGAGATTTTAGCAAATAGAATCATCATTTTCTGGGCACAGCACCTGAAGGAACTTGAATGAGATAAAAATAGGTTATGTGAAGGACAAATTCTGATTTAAGTTCTTGAACTTAATCTTGTTGCCCTTCAGTTATGATATTCATTAAGCTATAAGATTGTGAGATAGATTGTCTAGGATTTGTGTATTGCCTTCTTCACTTCTCTAGGCATTAATTTACACCCCTTGTTTATACATTTTTTTAGTATGAGCTGTTTATTTTTGTTTTTACGTTCTTAATCTCTTACTCTTTTTCATATGGTGTAAGAGCTCTAACTATGATCAGAAATTACAAATAGAAATGGTCACATTTTCTGCCACCTTTATCTCTTATTTCAGTGAGAAGCCAAATCTTTTGCAAAAGGCATCTCTACAATAGATCTTCACAAAATAAAGCCATGTGACTCTGTTTTTGCTTCCTTTGCTTTCCTCAGAAACCTCAGAAATGTTTTTTAAAAGATGATTAAAGAAACCAAAAAATGGCAATAATAATTTTTTCTTCTTAATAGCGCCATGTGACTGAATCAGTTGAGCCATACCCAAGAGATGTCTGCTTGAATATAATTGAATATATGTGTTGTTGGGAGATAAGGTAATAGAAGGCATTTTCTCTTCCTACCACAGGATAGCTTATTCACCAACAAGTTCTCTGCCCTCTGTAACTAAACGTAGGATGCTTTTTCCTCCTAGCCTTTTTTTTTTTTTTTACATTTCTTTTTTAGTTGTATTCAGACACAATATCTTTATTTTATTTATTTATTTATATGATGCTGAGGATCAAACCCAGGGCCCCACACATGCTAGGTGAGTGTTATTCCTCTGAGCAACCTCCCCAACCCTCCTCCTAGCCTTTATAAGGGGAGTTTTTCTAATCTGGACAAAATTATTTGCAGATGGTATTTAAAACCTGGAAGGACTTTGACTTGAGCCAATGACCTTTCCCCATTTGTTTTTATAATAAGTAGAATATTCTACTGTTTAACTTCTCTGCCCTCTAAACTAACACAAAGTCCCTCTTAAAGATTCATTGTCTGAAGTATTTCTTAGTCACCAAAATCTTGTCTGTCCAGAGAAAAGCTTAAGTTTAACCTAGAGAGTAGGTTATTTCTCTCCTATATTGCTGGTCTTTAATTTTAATCAGTAGTATCTCCATTGGAAACTGAAACTTACTTGGAATTCCTCTTCTAAACCCATAAACAGTTAAATGTATTTTAGAGTTATTTGCTCAAATTAACTAGCAGGAATATTATAAATAATAATATGGTTGAGCTCTTAATTTATCACTCAGCAATAGAGCATTTAGGTACTAGAACAACAGCTATTTTGAAGGCAATGCATCTTTCAAAATAGAATCACCAAGAAACAAATTTAAACCTCTGATAGGAAAGTTTGAATCATAGTGATGCATCAGTTAAGATAAAGCAGTATCAGCTTGTAGCCCTCTTGAGTTTCCTGTAAATCAGAGTATAGTGTGCAAATTTGTCATATATTCTGGGAAAACTCCAAAAGTGAATGTCTTTGCATTAAAATTGTCAATTCATTCAATGCCCATTTTCTCCAAAGTCACAAAAGAATTTTGGTAACACTTCACTTACTCCCTTCTTAGGATTGTGGATCTTAATTGAGGTAAAGCAGTAGTTTCATGCTTTATCTGCCTTTCCACAGACTTCACAGGCAAAGAGACTCTCTGAGAGTGCCCTGGGGAAAATAGATGAAGTTATCCTTATTTGTGGACCTAATAGTTGCATTTTGTCATTTCTGGCAAAATCAGTGTCAGACCCTTAGTTTAATGGCTCTAGTTACGTGAAAAAGAAAGATGTTTTTTTCAGGTTAGCAGCATCTAGCTATTTAATTCTGCAGTCTGTATACGGGGTAAAAATGGGAGTTCATAACACACTTGAATCTAAAGTATGAAATATGATATGTCAAGAGCTATGTAATGTTTTGAACAACCAATAAAAAAAATTTAAAAAAAAAAAAGAATCACAGTCTTGCCAACTAGCAAAAGATGCCTTAGCTCTTCACAACCCAGAAATAAAAGCAGTATTTGC